AGAAACGATGAAAGTTATACAAGTGTTCAGGTCTTTCATTCATAGGGTCACTATGAGTCATCTACGACTCGATGGCACTTAACAACAACACAACAATCTTGGAGATGACAAATTGAAAGACGTCAGAATTGCAACATTCGGGGTAGTCTGCCTTCTTCATTCTAAGTGCTCACGGACGGGCCAGCTTGTTGAGCTGTGCAGCAGCTAGCAGCCAGCAGCCAGCAGCCAGCAAGTACAATTTTGCTACTTGTCTCTAGAAGACTTTGCTGAGTGCACTCATATCGGAGTGATATGCTGTTTTTCTGTTCATTTGTAGAAAAGATCTGAGAGCTTTCTCATCCATCCTCACAAACTTGTCTCACCACTGCTTAGGCACCTTAAAATGCTCTCTGGTGGCATAGTCCACAGAAAGTTGTGCTACTAGCCCGGAGGCTGTGCTTCTCTGATGGTTCAAACCCTGCAGCCGCTCTGCAAGAGGATTGGGCCTCCTCTTCTTATGTGATTTACAGCCTTTAAAATCCCACGAAGGTCAGCTATGAGTCAAAACTGACTCAACAGTGGTGAGAGAATTTGGAGGCAACTTAAGGAGCCCTGGTGAAATAGCGTGTTGCACACTGGGCTACAAATCAAAATGCCATCCACCAGACGCCCCATAGGCTAAAGATGAGACAGTCTGTGCTCATTAAGATTTACAGCCTAGTGAATCTACGGATGGAGGGTCGCCATGAGTCAGAATGCACTCAGCATGGGAGGGAGGCACTTAGGAGATTTCATTGACTCTGCATCAATCACACGGCTCCTGACTAGCACTCCTTACTGAAGAACAGAGCTCACACATTCATTACGTGGGATGGACTCATTCTCCCTACTCCCTGCTGCCTGTCTTTATTCCACTTCTTAAAAAAGAAATAAATAAACACAAACAAACAAAAGGAACCCTGAACCCAAGGGGGCTTTGTTAAAGCGATGAGCTTTCCTCTGGCACCTTGTCAAAAGCCTTGAGAAATGTCTTTCTCTTCCCTTTCCTTTTTATTCTTCCCTTCCTCTACACTGAAAATTCCTAAAAGAAATTGTTTCAATTTAAGCATTTGGCATTCCCCTTTTCTGTTGTAGTCAGTAATATCTACTTACTCCTAAAGACTGATGCAATGCCTGAAGGAAGCGAGGTTCAAGTTTATCCAGTAGCAGTAGATACAACACATAAAAAAAATACAGATGCATACTAAAGAGTTGATTCCAGCTCATGGCGACCTCATCCCTCCGTCTAGGTCCTGGGATTCCTTGTGGGACCTTCTTTGTTACAAAGGTCACAGTTGCAATCTGGCACACTGACTTGCATAACAATAGATTCCAGTGGCCTAATTTCACCCTTGAATTCCTACAGAATCCTCATTTACCTGCCCAGCACTGTGGTGATTTATCTAGATTTATTATGTCAATTTAGCAGAATAAGCTCCAATACAAGTGATATCAACCATTGCTTGATATAATAACATCAATCTTCCATTTCCAGGAACAATACAGGACTAGAGGTCCCCTTAATGTCTTCTTCAGTAAGTGTTAAGGTTTAAAATCCACTTGTGAGCTATCATAATTTCACTTTTTTTGGGAGAACTGTCTATCCCAAAGTTGTTGGTGATCAACTCTCTCCCTTGAGTTAGATTTTTCTTTCTGGTTCATTAAAAGAGCTTGTATTACTTTTGAAGCCTCCACATATAACACTCTGATTTCCTTATACTTTGAACAGCACCTTATTTCCATATGACTCCTACCTTCCAGACTTGATAATCTTTCTTATTTCCACTTTAGAACCAAATTTCAGGTTAGGAAAAGAATTATTTCCTGAAAATGTTTGACATTTTCTGTTATCCATGCAGTTGGGAATACAGGAGATGTGGAACAATTTTGAATAAGGTAGATTATAAAAAGGACTTGTGTTTTTCCTTGTAGTCTACCTAACTCTTGGCTGCTAACCTCAGAAGAAAGGGCTGGTTATCCACTTCTAAAACATCAGCCATTGAAAACACAAAGGAGCTCAGTTATGTGGACTCAGTTGACTGATGACAACTGGTTCCTCTAGATTTACTAAACAGCTTAATGGGCTTAATCATTATATGCTATTGAGTTGATCACAACTCCTAGCGATCATATAAGCCACACATAGAAGCTGTCTTGTGCCATCCTCACAGTCACCACAGGCTCAATCCCATTTTTGTTATAATCACTGTGTCAAACCATCTTCTTGAAAATTTCTCTCTCTTTTGCCCACCCTCTACCTCTTCCAAGGTATGACAACATACCCCATGTATGTGAGGCCGACTTTCACCACCTTTGCTTCCATGGAGCACACCAGCTTTACTTCCTCAAAGACAGACCTGTTTGTTCTTGGCCAGTCCATAGTACATTCAATACTCTTCACCAACATCACAATTCAAGGGCATCAGTTATTCTTTAGTCTTCTTTATTCATTGTCCAACTTTCACATGTATATGAAGTAAAAACATCTATCTACTAGAATTATTAATATTTATTCATTTGTATAAAAATTTTATTGATCATTAACTGTGTATGAGACAAAGGGCTAGTGACTTTAATGATCCGGAAGACCTGACATTGTTGAATTCTTAAAACAAACAAAAACTATAGGATTATGATGTAGGATGCATTGCAGAAATAGTGGCAAATGAGACTAGAGAAAAAAGCTTTGCATGCTACAAGAAAGTATTTGAACATTACCTGTCAACCAAAGGAGGCCATAAGAGTTTTCAATACGCGTGTACAAACAGATTTAAAAGGTTATTACAGCTTCCAAGCAAGAGTTGGAAACAGTGACAAAGGTAAAAGAAAGGAGGGAATGGATTCCATATAGTGTTGAGGAATATAGTTTAGTCTTTCAGATATTTGTGCACGAGATATTAGTTGAGGGAGAGCAAAGAATCAAGGCTGATTCCCTAGCATAAATTTTTGGGTAATAAAATGTGTTTTTGTTGTTGTTGTATGCAGTCAAGTTGAAACTGACTCATAGTTGACTCTCTAGTGGGTTTTCAGAGAGTGTAAATCACACAGGAAATTACCCATCTTTCTCCGTTGGAGCAGTTGATAGATTTGAACCACCACTTTGGCTTGGCAACACAATTCCTTTTCCCTAGACTACCAGAGCTCCCTTAATGAGCTACACCATGAGTCTAACAACTAGAAAAGGAACTGTCAGAATAGAAACAGGTTAATGGGAGGGCTGACCTGAGTATAAATAAGAGGGGAATAGTTTGGAAAGACAGTAAGTTCCATTTTTAACTTACGTGGTTTGCTGTAGGGCATCTAAGTAGAGATTTTTAACAAATCTCTGTATTAGCCTAGTGCTTAGCTCTAGAAATATCAGCAGAAAATCACTAGCAATTTTGACTTAAACAAATTTTACATTCCACCTAGCTATTTTTTCTGAGCTTTTTCTGAGAAAATGGTGGACAGTAACAAATGACTCCCAAGTGAAGTAACAAATGAAGTCAGATATGAAATAAAGACAATGATATTAATTATTATGTTTTATTCTTCAAATATGCCACCAACTATATATGAATCTTATTCATATAAATGATGTGTTTAATATCCTACAGCTTTGTTAATATAGTCCTTATGTACCCTTCAGTCACATTGTTATTTTAAATAACTGCTGATGGATTTTAGAGGTGAAACCACAGGGTTGCACAGTTTGGTGAGTGACGGGAGGGGGAGAAGTAAATGGGAAGGATCTGGGCAAAAAAAACATCGTAATGATGGGCAAGGTCCAATGGTGATTAATTTTATATGACATAATGCATGAGAATGGTTCTATGAAACACAAAAGTGAACGAAGAATAGTGTGAAACACAATGTTTACAAACTTTATAAGCAAACCAATTTTAAAAGTTAAAAATTTAAAAAATAAATTAATACTGTGATAGGCTTTTGGTTTTCAAGGATGTTAAAATAAGCAATTCCATTAGAAAAGAAAACATACTGAGCATAGTACGTGTTTACATCCCATTTCATGAAAGACATGTTCTTTCTACCTCCCAGATGATGAAGAATTGGCAGCACTTGCCTAGTTTAGGGGAGAAGAAACTGGTCACACAGAACTTTTAGTGTTGTCCCTTTAAAATGTCAACTGTCTTTAAAAAAGAAATGTATCACCTAAGCACAGCTGGCTTAAGAATAGAAAGAGATGACTAGGGGGAATGTGTGATAAGAAATATCCCTATCATAGCTGTGGCCTCAAATTCAGGAGCTCTCTGAACAAAAACGAATTTATGAAGCCATGTTAAATCAATTGCTATGAAATAGGAGAATAAAGAGACTATGAAATTAAGCTCACAAAATTTATTTTATGGAAATCAAAAGCATGTTGCTGTGATTTTAGTCCATAACTGGCAATCATATGTTCTCCTGGAAAGTAACATATATAAAGAATAACACAATGTGAATGGAGGATAGTGTGAAACACAATGTATACAAACTTTGTAAGCAAACCAATATAAAATAAAAGATTTTCAAAAACAAAAACCTTTTGTCTCTTGGGAAAGAGGTCATCGCATAGATAAGGGACTTATTTTTCAGAACTATATATTGAATTCTATTCACAACCTTTTTAAAAAAATAACTGTGTTTATGTAATGCATGCAGCTATGATATTCTTGTATTTCTATAGCATGGAAAATTGTTAGACCTGGCTATATTGAAAGAACTGTTTAAAATGAATATATGATTAGGTGTATACGTACAACAGCCCAGAATAAAAGGTACATTGCAGAGAAGACTGAGGGGTTTGTGGGGCAGGTAATAGTGCAATAATGAATGAATATTTTTTTTAAAATGTCAACGGGGGGAGGGGAAGGAGGGCAAAGGGGTAAAATGTGCAACAATGAATGAATAAAAATCTAACTTTTTTGTAAACCTTCATTAAAATCTCAAAATTAAAAAAGAAAGTACTGTGATTTACTTTTTTTTCTATTATCATTAAACAGGGAAGGTCATGGTAAAATTTCAGTATTTGCTGTCAAAATGGCTTTGGCCACATTGTGTGGAGGGAAGATCATGGACAAATTGCGATGTAAGTTATTTGTGCTTCTCTGTGCTTGAGCTTCCAGTGAGTCTCCTGCCCCAGCCCCTCCCCTGTCTCCTTGCCCATCTGTGTGTCTTTTCTCTGTGACTTGTTAAAGTATAATCTTCATTAATTGTTTTATTTTATCATAGAAATATGTTCACAGTACGTAAATATGAATTAAATAACCAGCTTCCTATTTATGAATTATTGTATTTATAACCTGCTGCATAGCCACAACTAGACTAACTCAGACCTCAAAATGAGACATTCGTACTTTCAAGTTTGTTGACTGCTAATCTCAGCACACCTGTACTGCTTTACAGGCATACGTCCGTCACCTGAAGGCATGATTCTCTTGGACTAATTGTTAAAGTGGAAGGGACAGTAAAGTCCTACATGCCCACACATGTTCAAGAGACTGCCTTTAATAGTAACCAGATAAAATAAAGTCAGGGTTCAGAAGTTATCTGGAATATATATGATAGTTGATTCCTTTTTTTTTTTTTTTTGGTAGCCTGAGATAGATAAAGAATTGAAAATGCCAGTCCCATGTCTCTCTTGTTGTTGTTATGTGCCGTCGAGTCGTTTGCAACTCATAGGAACCCTACGTACAACAGCCCTAAACCCTGCTCTAA